GAGTATGGGTCACCATACTTGGCCACATGTCACGTCACTTTTCACTTTTTCACTTTTCACTTTTCAATATTACAGCGAGAATAAAAGTTACTCCTTCTTTCTTTGTGTGAACATTTGGGCGGTGTTATGCAAATCTTCCCACATAGTGACGTAGACATGTGGGGGCGTGTTAGAACGAGCCGTTTTAGGTAGGCATGGCTGACTCTTAACTTTTATAAAGAATATCTCTTTGGATTTGAGACTTTAGTCTTTGCAACTTTACAGATCTTCTTTATGCACCAAGAGCTTGTAACACTCCAAAAAGAAAGGAAAAATTTTAATTGCATCATATGACCCCTTTAAAATATTGGCTATTAAATATGTGAACCCTTTTATTTAGCTAATTTTTCCAACAATTTTCAATTGTGTTCGTAATGACAAAAAAAAACAACAACACTGACTATTCCATACTACAGTACAGTAAACAATCATTACATATATAATTTATTTTAATATAATAATTCAATAATATAATAATTATTTATTTAATAATAATTTATATAATAATTTCCAAAAAATGAAACACTTGGTATATCAATTAAAGAATTAATTGCACAAATACGCCTGCATGATACATGATTCTGTACATGGCAAACGATCAAAACAGTGTTATTTTAGTAACTATTTAGTATTTTTTTAAATTTAGTATAGTTTTATTATCAATATTTTAAATTCATTTTTTTTTTTTTATATTTTGTTTTCATTTTAATTTCAGTTAAAGGTTTAATTTGTTTGTTGTGTGTGTTTTTTCCCCCCCATTTCTGTCATTGTGTATCATTTTTTCCCCCCTTAAATATGTCTATATTGTTTTTAGCAATTTTTATTTAAGTTTTATTTACTTTAGGAATTCAAGTTAAACTAAACTAAAATGATAAATAATGCCCTGCAAGTAGCTAAAATAAAGTAAGTTTAAGATTTGTTATATTTTATTTTATTTCAGGTAACATTTTATTTTTATTTAAAGTAACAAACTGGTTTTCAAATGGTTTTAGTTAACAAAAACCATGGTTCGAATGAAAAACTAGTGTTTGTGTTAAACTTATACACTACAAATATTAATACAAACAACACAATGGATCTAAATCTTAGAACTTACTTTAGAGTGGTCATCTCTGTGAGTGATGGCTGGGTGGCTTTGAGGTAGCTGGCCCGTCGAGCCTGCATCTTGGGCGAGGGTTTAGGGCTGCCGTCCGAATCTCCGCTGTCATCCTCCGCCATGGCTTTCACGTAACTCCCGCTGCGCATGCGTCTGCACGGGATATCCTCATCTTTCCCCAGTGGAAAGCCTCCCCACTCGTCTTGAGGAACCTGTGGGGTAAGAGGTGACACTGTGTCATGAACCTCTTCCGAAAGGTGCATGTCACCGTCCAAACTGCCTCCCGTGCGCTCGGCTCCACAAATCACCCACACCCACACACACACACACCCACACACACACACACACATTCTGATCTCCACTTCCTCTCTTTGAGCCGGCAGAGATAAATAATGAGGCTGCCGGTGTGAGCTTGCATGATTACACTAACGACGCCTCCCTGGGTAGTTAAGCATCTGTCTCAGTGCAGCTCGCTCAGGGAAAATTCTCATCAATAGGACTCTCTGAAAGCATGAGAAGTTGGACTGCGGTTTCAAGAGAGGAACAACTTAGACTGACAAAAGGGAAAAGCTTTAATTTTCAACTACTTGGTTTTAGGATAATCAAATGCTAACAAACTAATTGTAATAAAGCCTTGACAAATGCTCATTAAGACTACATACTGATGTAATAAAATATACAGTAAAATGAGAATTGTATGAAACCACTATTTCGAAGATGCTTTCTGAAGTGGACCAGGAGCTGAAAAACAGCAAAAAAATGTATGCACAGTGACCAAGGCTCAATTTCCAATAATACATAGCTAATTTTTTCCTTTTTTAATAAATCAACCACAACTACAACTCTATGTCAGCAGATGTAGAAACAGCACCTCATATGGTTTCATTTCAGTTTTAGTTGGTTTCACTTGATTATTTGACCTCAAAGAAGGGCTGAACTCATTGTAAACTCCAGTTGCAAAAATACCTGCCAGTTTGTTATGTGATTGTTCAGCAAATACATAACCACTCTAATAATTAATTTTAATTGCATGAGCTTACAGTCACAAAAGTCAGTAATACTTGGTGGTGCTCTTATCATATAACAACAAGGATCCACAGTATTAGTTTAATTGTTTAAATGCCTCACAAAAATGGGAAAATAAATAAATAAATAAAAAACAAAAATTATTCACTAATTACTAAAGTTGGATAAATAACAGTATATCAGGGAAATAACTGGAAATAATGTTGGTTTTTCTTTCTTAAAGAAACTTGAATTAATTTTTTTATTATTATTATGTGGCTCTGGGAACATCCAGCCCCGCTCAATTCGAACACTGCTTCCATGCAAAAATCAAATATCAATTCAAAGTTTCAGAATGTCACACACACACACACCCACACACACACACACACATTCTGATCTCCACTTCCTCTCTTTGAGCCGGCAGAGATAAATAATGAGGCTGCCGGTGTGAGCTTGCATGATTACACTAACGACGCCTCCCTGGGTAGTTAAGCATCTGTCTCAGTGCAGCTCTCCCAGGGAAAATTCTCATCAATAGGACTCTCTGAAAGCATGAGAAGTTGGACTGCGGTTTCAAGAGAGGAACAACTTAGACTGACAAAAGGGAAAAGCTTTAATTTTCAACTACTTGGTTTTAGGATAATCAAATGCTAACAAACTAATTGTAATAAAGCCTTGACAAATGCTCATTAAGACTACATACTGATGTAATAAAATATACAGTAAAATGAGAATTGTATGAAACCACTATTTCGAAGATGCTTTCTGAAGTGGACCAGGAGCTGAAAAACAGCAAAAAAATGTATGCACAGTGACCAAGGCTCAATTTCCAATAATACATAGCTAATTTTTTCCTTTTTTAATAAATCAACCACAACTACAACTCTATGTCAGCAGATGTAGAAACAGCACCTCATATGGTTTCATTTCAGTTTTAGTTGGTTTCACTTGATTATTTGACCTCAAAGAAGGGCTGAACTCATTGTAAACTCCAGTTGCAAAAATACCTGCCAGTTTGTTATGTGATTGTTCAGCAAATACATAACCACTCTAATAATTAATTTTAATTGCATGAGCTTACAGTCACAAAAGTCAGTAATACTTGGTGGTGCTCTTATCATATAACAACAAGGATCCACAGTATTAGTTTCATTGTTTAAATGCCTCACAAAAATGGGAAAATAAATAAATAAATAAAAAACAAAAATTATTCACTAATTACTAAAGTTGGATAAATAACAGTATATCAGGGAAATAACTGGAAATAATGTTGGTTTTTCTTTCTTAAAGAAACTTGAATTAATTTTTTTATTATTATTATGTGGCTCTGGGAACATCCAGCCCCGCTCAATTCGAACACTGCTTCCATGCAAAAATCAAATATCAATTCAAAGTTTCAGAATGTGAGCATGCAAATTACTAAGGCCATACAAAACTCATGCTAACAGAGAGCACAGCTGTGTGTCAGGCTGGTGTGCTGCATGCATCACTCTGCATGGAGGTTCATTTTAAAGTTTGGAAAGAGATTCACGGCTGGCATCGAGAGAAAATCCCACTTTAAAGAATTTCACTGTGATTATATGAATCAGCGCAGAGCTTGTGTTACTGGGGAAACAGCTGGCCTTGACGTCAGAAAGTGTATAAAAGGCAGTCAGAGGAAGAATGACTCCAGTAACATGGGTTCTTTGGCCACACACACCCTCACAGACCCGACAAACACAAAATCTTCCTTCAAAGATACCACCAACATCCACACAAGCCTTTAGTCAAGTCGAGTCTGATGAGCAGAAAATTAGGATAAATCCTGTTGAGCAGATAGATACAAGACTCAGAGTCCTCACAGCAGACTGGGCCTTGCTTCATCATTTCAAGGGATGAAAGACTGTATCCCACATGAGAGCTTCCATTTTCTTCCATTAACAGAATTTCAGTTTATATCTTTAGGTGCTTATTCTAGCCCCATAGCACATTTTTAAAAGTGACTTTTTAAAGTGTTTTCTATGCCTTTATTTCGATAGGACAGTAAGTGAACCGGAAGCGAAGTGGGGGAGCGAGCGAGAAAAAGGGGGACGGGATCGGAAAAGGTCCGCGAGCCAGGACTTGAACTTGGGACAGCCAACAAGGCTATTGGCGCCGACGAGGGCTGTGTGATTAATCAAAATAACATAAATGTTTTTTTTTGATATGGTAATTATCCATTTTAAATTACATTAATATATGTGTTATGTGCTTCAGAGTAAAGCGTGCCACTGTGTTCTTTTACACATGTGCAGCTCATGATTTAGTGTTTTCAGTGTCTCAGAGTGCCTCGGTTCTCAGTAAATGCCTCTTCACAAACTTCAACTCTGCATGCAAGCTTGTGTCACTTTTTCATGCACATTTAATTTTAATTTTAAATTTAATTTAATTTATTTTATTATTGTTTTATTTGTTATTTTTCTTTTTAAAAAGTATTTAATTTTTACATAATATGTAAAATTTGTATATGACAATATGTCATATTGATATATGAAGTAAAAAATATTTTTAGTCACATTGTGCAGCTCTACAAACAATCAAACTTGGAGTTTTAAGAAAGAAAGAAAGAAAGATCACAATGCCTATTTTTAACAGAACAATCACAATTTGATTCCCCCCCCCTAAATAGGAGACCTACTAACTACCATCCTACAAAAAACACTGTTAATGGGACCAGTATATTAACAAAAGTAGCTGCACATCATCTCAAATGTTATCAAAACCATCCGCTATTTTGCTAGCATTCTCTCACAACAACTGAACTCAAATGATCTGCTTCACCTACCATGCTCTCAGATTCCCGTTTACCATATATGGCCTTCCCTGTGACCACATAAAATGATTGACAGGCAGTAAGGGCCTCAAAGTGTTCTGATTGGCAAGCCAAAGTATCTGACTGTGGAGAGCTGACACAGAAACAGGTGCCATTCTATAAAATATCGTAGTATAATGTAACCTAATCTAAAATTTGAAGAATCACTGAAAACCCTATACTGATCGATCACTATTGTGATCCTCCTCAGTGCGCGCACACACACACACACACACACACAGGTACTCCCAAAAGAACAAGCATGAAACCCTAAATGTCTGTATAAAGTCTACAACATCAACATCATAATTTTAACTTAATATCGACAGCAAATCACAACTTGCTCAACATCTTGCTCAAGAATCTTTCCACAAACCTTTAGAACAAGAACAGCACAGTGCAATGCCCTGTCACTCACGGTTACTATGGCAACTGGCATCCAGATTTAGCCCTGAAGAAAGATGCCAATTATTCTTTGTATTGACAGAGCATGATAGAGAACATGTGAGACATCCTGCCAGCTCAATTTAGCATCTGAATTAGTATGTGGCTGCCCACGTGCAAACTCTGATTCACAGTCCGCTGCAGGTGGTCTTAAGATCTTCTCTAGTTCGCTCATTTAATACATGTATAACGTAACGGGTTACCTCATTTGTCTGTTCACTAGGACTATGAGGACTGTGCAGCCTTACGTACAAAAGGAATAGGAAAAACTTTAAATAATATCAGATACATTGAGTTCTTTCTCACCCTAACTAATGTGTTGTTTATTTCTGACACAGTGCTTAATATTAACCTTCATTATAATAATTGATACATGCCCTGTAGAGACAAAAGTACTAAGAATGTAACAATTATACACAAAAATTGGAAAAATTTAAACGACAGCACAAGAGCTCGAGTGCTGTTGTAAAGAGTGTCAGCACAGTGTGTTTTGGCAGGTATTCTTGTCCAATCAGATTACAAGACCACTGTCACGAATATTTGTTGATGACTCCAGGGACTAGTAGTTTGTAATGCCCGATAAAGTAAAAATCATATAATACCTATAATGCCTTTTAAAATCCCAATTTAAATTCTGAATCTGAATTTAATTTGAACAGAATTTAAAGTGAATTTGAATTGTGGTAGCAAACAGGGTGTTTAAAGTGCCTCCTATATAATTACGCATTCAGTTTACATATTTCAGGTTATATATAGTTCTACATTTGAACATTTAAAGATGCAGTATGTAACTTTTGCCTCTATATCGCCATCACTATTTGAAACATAAAAAGTTACTTAAAGGGGTGGTCAATCAGTTATTTTTGAAGGCTTGATTGTGTTTATGGGGTGCACTGTAACATGTGTGCATGCCTCATTTTTATTTATTTTTTTCATTATTTTTCAAATATTTTACCTTTATTCTACACCACTGTTTCTGTTCTTCTAAAAACGGTCTGTTGACTTCCTGGTTCTATGAAGCCCCTTCCTCAGAAATACGCAATTGGCTCAGATTGGTTAGCTGGCACAGTGTGTTGTGATTCGCTAACCGCCTGGTGCATGTTGTCTGGAAATGTCACGCCTCTTACCATTACCCTTTGTTGCTTGTTCCTGGGGGCAGGGTTTATGTACATTTTATGTAAAGCTGATTCTAGTCCCTACCAGCTGTTTGCTGTAGGCCTTAAAAAGCTAATTCTGTAAAAGAATATATCTCCCATGTATATTGCAAGCTCAAACAGCAACATTACACACTAACTAAAGTTTAAAAAAGTGAAATCATAATAAAGCACCCCTTTAAAAAACTAAGCAACTGTTGTAATAACAAGCTACAAATGCTTCACCCACACATGGCATATAGTAGCCTGGTTTCTTTCTGTTTACGGACGTGATGTAAACATGCATCAAACTGACAAATTATATTAATTCCCTGTGAAAATCGGACACAACCTCAAATTATAAATCATTATTGTGTGAATCGAGGTAAGATAAGGAGATAAGTTTTGAACACTGATGTCTTTTAAACTCAATAACCAATTTTTGTTCATTTTTGACCAAAAAAGATGTGACAAGTGAATTGCTCTTCTTGTCATTCTAATTAAACTTCCTGTAGATTTTAAATTCACATTCATGAATGGAAAGGGAGCCAGTTCTTCACTTCTGAATTTTGCACAGCTCAGTTGCATAGGGTGTAGGCTAAGCTAGCAGGCTAATTTGCTAACAGTATGCTAAGCTAGGACGTAACCGTTCATGACACCAGTTATAATGTATGGAGTCTATCCTCTTCATACACATCCAGAAGAACAGCACTCATCCAATCTGCTCCATCCAATCCCACCACATACACAGACACACACATACAAACTCACACAGAACCCAACAAAATAAGAACTTAGTTAAAACATTGGTAAAAAAAAAAGTGATTTTCAGGTTTAGAGAGGGAAATAATACCAGCCAGAGATCAAATGGATCCAAACAGATGCTTGTCAGCTAAACAGAAAGTAAGGCAGCTAGTGGGTTGCACTTACTTCTCGGCAGAACTCAAATCAAAACTGGAGGCTCTCTCCAGTGGTGGAGGAGGAAGAGGAGGGGTGGTGGAAAGGTGGAGGTGGGTTAGGTGAGCATGTGGGTGTAGGGGAGAATCGAAAGGCTTTTTGCATACCTGCAAGAATTGGCATGAGCGCTCCTGCTGACAAGCCTCTGCTTTCACTAGAGCCTTATCTACATTTACTGAGGCCTTCTGGTAGACTTGACGTGCTCTGCTCACCGTGAGAGAGGACGACCACGAGCTCTTCTTCATGAGCTGTGAAGCGTCCACGCTCAGCGGGATGCTTGTGCACGTCGAGCACTTGCCCAAATCATTGCTGCTGCGGGAGTTTTTAAGTGCCTGGTCATTGATGGTGTTGTAGGCTTCCAAGAAGTACTGCGACTGCGACTTATCCGGGTGGCGGCCCATGGTCATGACGCCCGGTGATCCATGGTGAAACAGGCAGGCCTCGCGTTCCAATTCATCCGAGCTCCAGTAACCAGAAGGTGGCGTCCTGTTCTTGGGTTCAGCCGACTTGCAGCGCTCCCGGCTCTTGCTGCGCTTTCGGTGCCGAATAGCAGGGGGTTCTCCGTCGGGGCTGGCCTTGCCTCCATTGATGCTGCCCTTGCCGTGACCATGGTGTGGGCCCTCTAGTGAGTGGGACTTGGTGAAGAGCTTCTGAACGGAGTGTACCAGGTGCCGGATTCGGCCAGGGCTGTCGCTCCGTTGCTCCAAGGCTGCGGCGGCACGCTTGTACTGCAGCGTGTGATAGCCATCCCGAGGCACTGGGAGTTGCCGGTCGAACTGATCCAACAGGACGACGGGAAGACGCTGTTGGCCCTTGTTGGCTGGAACACCTCCCCCGGTGTAGGGAACCACAGCAGTCTCGTCCTTCAGCTCGTGCTGAGAGCTGCAGTGTCGGGGTGCGGTGCCGAATAGCAGGGGGTTCTCCGTCGGGGCTGGCCTTGCCTCCGTTGATGCTTCCCTTGCCGTGGCCGTGACCATGGTGTGGGCCCTCTAGTGAGTGGGACTTGGTGAAGAGCTTCTGAACTGAGTGCACCAGGTGCCGGATTCGGCCAGGGCTGTCGCTCCGTTGCTCCAAGGCTGCGGCGGCACGCTTGTACTGTAGCGTGTGATAGCCATCACGAGGCACTGGGAGTTGCCGGTCGAACTGATCCAACAGAGTGATGGGGATACGCTGTTGGCCCTTGTTGGCCGGAACCCCTCCCCCGGTGTAGGGAACCACAGCGGTCTCGTCCTTCAGCTCGTGCTGAGAGCTGTAGTGTCGGCGGGGGAAGGTCCCGTAAGGCACCACGCAGTCGGGCTGGTAGGGGCTTCTCTGGGAGTAGTAAGAGTGGTCGACCGGGTGGGGGTTGTCGATCTGGCTGATGAGGTAGGGCTTGTGGTCCAAGTGGTGACCCATGGAGTCAAAAGAGGGGTCACAGGTCACCACGTGGTGGTGGCTGCGGCTGCTGGATAAGCCTTTCATCACTGAGATGGAATCATCCAGCGAGGGTCGGAGGCATCCACGCACAGTACGGCTCCAAAGTGACCTGACGGTCTGCAGGGAATACATAGAAAGACATCAATGACTATGAGCATTCTGTGCGAATGTTTTCATGTTTTTTGCTCTGTGGGTCAATAATAGGATACTATACCCTGATCTCTGAATTTAATTCTGAATTAAAATTCCATGAATAATATTAAAATGTGGTGTGACTCCCCCAAAACATAATAATATTTATTAATTAAATCAAGTAAAACTTAAGTTTTTAAAATCATATGAAATCAACATGAATGTAAGGTGTACATGTTTTTAAAGATTTTTTCTTTTATTTATCTTAGACACTCTTAGTATTCATTAAAGGGATAGTTCACCCAAAATGAAAATTCTGTTGGTAATTACTCACCCTCATGTCATTCCAAACCTGTAAGACCTGCTTTCATCTTCAGAACACAAATTAAGATATTTTTGATGAAATCCGAGAGCTCTCTGACCCTCCAGCAACAGATCTACCACGTTCAAGGCCCAGCAAGGTAGTAAGGACATTGTTAAAACAGTCCATGTGACATCAGTGGTTCAACCTTAATTTTATGAAGATACGAGAATACTGTCCTTAGTACCTTTCTGGGCCTTGAACGTGTTAGTTGTTTTGCTGTCTGGAGGGTCAGAATGCTCTCTGATTTAATCAAAAATATCTTAATTAGTGTTCCGAAGACAAACTAAAGTCTTACAGGTTTGGAACGACATGAGGGTGAATTTTCATTTTTGGGTGAACTATCCCTTTAACCCCTTCACCAGCAACAAACAGTTCAATAAAAGGTCTTGTTCTTTGCAAAGTGGAACCACAACCACTTTGCACAAAACAATATTTACTCAAACCTAACCAAGCAGAGCTGATCTGATCAAATACCCTGTTAGTTCAATGAACATCTGTGTTTGACATTACCCAGCAACAGTCAGGCTTTCAAAATGTCTGACAGTACTTGAAAGGATTATTCAATGCTGAGAAGTCTTTTCTGTTCTTCTCAGAGGGAGGGGAAGAAAGCCAAGGTTCAGATGATAGATTGACGATGTAAAAAGGAAAGTAGTATTGAGAATCACAAATAAGTATTCAAGAGGTACTAGGTCCTTTGGTGTGCTCGGAGTTAACTTATGAGTTTTTTTCAATGTTGCCAAAGATTTCAAAGTTTTTAATTTCAATTTAAATTCATACACGGACACACATGCATACATACAAATTAAACCAGAGTATTTTAAAATACTTTTTTGACACAGACCCAACGTGTTAACTAATGACTAAATCAATTGACTAGTCAAGTAGTATGTACAACCCCTAGCACACTACTTTCATTTCATCACCAATCCCAACTACTTTCAGCCGCTCTCTGTCAGAGTCATTAAAATCAGTGCAAGTTGAGCCTGATGGGACACAAGGCAGCACTACGTCTACTGGGGCACTATTTCAACATGAAGCATGATCATTACTCCTAGAGCCTCTGATTTGAGAAAATCTCAATTTCCTTTTTATACCGATGTCTTTTCAGATGTTGTCAGAGCCCAGGCTTTCATCAAGGCTCTTCTTGGAAAGCTCACACTCAGTAATTGCTTGAACTAAGTTCACAAAAATCAAGACTGATTGTCCAATTTATCAGTCAGGCTATATATATAGTTCAGTCATGAAACTCTAGATGGTGCAGGCTGACGGTTTTTAACGTAACTGATGATATTCAGAGAGTTAAATGACTTGGCACAAGCTGATTGGTTCATGCTGCATATGCAGCCAATGAGCTTACTGCCTTGCACTTATATGGCTGGCTAGCATTCACTTGAGATTCCTGCAGCGTGCTTTCAGAGTTTCTCTGAAACTCAACAGCTAGATAAGTAAACAGTCTTCACTCTGATTTCAGTGCACTATTGCGTTCGTCAGATTTACATTTTTAAACTAGAAAACATACAAGTTGTAAAACTACGTACAGGTTATTGGCGCGAGGAGTAATTACTAAGCATGTCTTGTAGCATTAGCAGCAGCAGCAAGCAGTTTTCCTAGTTCATGTATGTGAGAATACAACTGTGACGAGTGGGGGCGGGGCCGAGAGCCGTGGGAACAGAGCGAGGCCGGTGGAGTGATTGCTAATGAGGGACACCTGCACCCACTCACCGGTCTCGAGTCTCACGGAGGAGCTCCGGAAGGATAAAGGAGGAGTGACTACAGTGTTGGACGAGAGAGGACCAGGCCTGGTGCTTTTAATATCTTCTGTGGGCATTCATTTCTACATTAACCGTGAACGGATCGCTTTCAGATGCACACCTCACTAGTGGGGTCGGTTTGCAGTTGGCGTTTCACAGTTGTTCACAGTTTTAAGTCAAGGTGAACCTGTATAACTGTCTTTCATAAATGTCATACTGTCAACAGCCTCACCTATTTAACCATAACAACTTAATGAGCAACAGAAAATAATATACCCACTCATACGTGTACTCGTGCCGCATTGCAATGCACTTCAGGAGAGGGAGCGCTCATTCTTAAAGGGGCCACATCTCTATTTCACTCGTTACCTTGGCTTAGTGATAGTGAAGAGTATATTATGAAAGTCATGTTTAGTGATAGTTTAAAGATATTTAATCATGAATTAGTTTAAAATATCAAGATACTACCAATAATAAATCATTTCCAATCAGTAGCCTATGTACAATGTAGCTAATTGTAGGACACTCTTAAACTGAAATTTACTATTTGTGTATTCAGTTGGGCTTACATAATTCAGATCGCGTTATTGTTAATAGCAGTATGCATAGCAAATCAAGTCAAATTTTACTGTTGTTTATATCAGCGGCAGCAGAAAGTATCTGGTTGCATGAAATTTCAGTGATGACACATGGGATAAGTGACTCTTTAAAATTGAAATAGGCTTTTATTACTTTGTTTATTTAACAGGGCGTACAGAGATTTTGTGAACTCTTCAAAGCAAAATAGGCATTATTTGTTGCGTTTCATTGTTTAATAAAGGACGCTTATAGTAATTCTAAGTATTTTCCTGCAGCTGTAGCAGCAGTATATTTAACAGGGCGTACAGAGATTTTGTGAACTCTTCAAAGCGTAATAGGCATTATTTGTTGCGTTTCATTGTTTAATAAAGACGCTATTCAGATCGCAATTTTTAGCGAATTTAATAGCAGCAGAATGGCATAGCAAATTCAGATGTGATGTTAGAAATAATATTAGCAGCAGTCTGCATAGCAACCAATTATTATTGCTAATATAGCAGGGGCAGCAGAAAGTACTTTAGTTGCATGAAATTTCAGTGATAATGCATGGATGAGCTACAGCAATTCTAGTACTTTCATGGAGTGTAGCAGCACTATCCATAGAATTTCAGATTGCGTTATTAGCAAATTATTTATAGCAGTATGCATAGCAAATCAAATTTATGTGTTTAGTTGCGGCAGCAGTAGGTAGACCGTAGTTTACATTTACATTTACATTTATTCATTTTGCAGATGCTTTTATCCAAAGCGACTTACAATTGCTGAAGTTTCAGTGACTAAAAATAGATGGTATATGGACTCTTCAAGCGAATAGGCATCATTTGCGTTTATTGCGTTATAGCAATTCTAAGTACCTTTGTGCAGCTGTAGCAGCAGTATGCATAGTTATTCAGATCGCATGTAGCGAATTTAAATGCAGCAGCATGCATAGCAAATTCATATGCAATGTTAGAAATAATATTAGCAGCAGGAAGTCAAATTATTGTTGATAATATAGCAGTGGCAGCAGAAAGTACTTCAGTTGCTTGAAATTTCTGTGATAACGCATGGGGTAAGTAACTCTTTAATGTGAAATAGGCATTTCATTTATTTGCTTATTTAACAGGGCTTACAGTAGATTTTGTGAACTCTTCAAAGCAAAATAGGCATTATT